GAGATAAGCATTCACTTGCTGTGTGCAGGACAGCTGGAGGAACCTAAAGCCTCTTGAGATGGGGAAATTTAATCTACCCTTGTGAGTTTTGGGATTTCCCCCAGCTTTGACATCAACAAATTTTGTAATGTTGCATCTGGAACATAACTTTTGTAGCTTTGATAGCTAACTTTCAATTTAAGGTTCTTGTGTTAAGCTAAAGCTGCCTTAGGCCTTTACTGGATCTTGGACTAAGGACACAAAATTTTTGCCAAATTAATTATTCACTAGCTATTCACCTTGTCTGATAAGGGAAATACAGACTGCATGCAGTCTGGGGAGCCAGCTCTGCAGCCTGTCCTCATGCATGTGCACCTCATTCTTTACAGTAATGCCACCAACCTGGAACAGTCAGCTGTTCAGATGAGCACATTTATCCCCTTTGGTTTGGTCCTTGCTACTCAAGGGAAGAATTAATATATCTTTTTTCTTTTTTTTTTTTTCTTCAGAAAAAAAAGGCAGTCAGAAGAGACGTTTCCTAACAAAGGAAACAGTTCTCTTGTGTACAGTGAACAAGGACATATTTAATGGGTGGAGGACACATTTTTTGACCTTCAGAAATGAGCTAAATATACTCTGAAGACAGCAGCTCAGTAATTACTAAGTGTTCAAGGATGGCATAAAGCTCCTCCCATCTGGCATTGCTATGTACCCATATAACTAATGGCTAGCTCACATTATCCATTTTTGCTTGCGCTCACAAGAACGGAAACTTTTATAAATCTGCAACATCAAAAGTAGCTCTGTGTCTCTTCAGCTGAAAAAGTAATAGTTCCTGAGGTCATTCAGGAACTCATCGTTACCTTTTTTCAAAAATAATGTATTTTTTAAACATTTTTGTTCCCATTTTTGAAGAACACAGAATCTTATTCTAGCTGATTTTACGATCTGCAAAAGCTACAAAAATATTTCCCTGCAAATTCATTTAAGATTTCCCTTGTTCTTTTCTGGAATGCATTGCCCAGTCACACTGCTGTAATGCAAATTCAACAGATTTCCAATTTGTTCTTATTCTCCCAGGGACTCCAGTGCAGCAGCTAATGAAAATGCAGAAATTAGTATTCTGGTCTCTCATTCTAGGAGCTTTAACTTTGTTTATTGATAGTCTTGGTCAAATATGCTGAAATACATAACATTCATAATTTATTTGGTCAGTCATTGACAGGCCTAG